GTTTTTGTTCCCTAGATGATACCTATTCTGACTAAGATGAGAAATTTGCTAAGGGACATACATGGTTTCTCTGTACTGATTTCATATTTTCCTCTAAATTGAAACTTACTCCAACACACAATGTTTACTTAAAAAGTTGGAAAAAGTATCTCAGTTGGTAGTGTTTGTGATCCAGGCAGTTACTTTTGTCAATACAGTATGTGGGGCACGGTGTTCAGTGTCCTTATAGCAAGGTAGGAAAGGGTTAAAGGAGTGTAACAGGCCTTTTCTTTCTAGAACTTATTGAGTGATCCCGATTCTAATGGAATGAGGCTTGGTAAAGTTGAGAATATCAAGAAACATAAGGAATAGTTGGAGAATCCTGAGTCTGTCACTAGTATTTTGACCTTATTATGTCATGGGCAGCAAAGTTGTGGTGGTAGTGAATTCAGTGAATAAATGATTTTGAGATTTAAGAAAGCAGCTCAGATGGGATGTATAAATTTGACATTTATCTACAAATAATTCACATCTGGTATTTTGATGGGATTATACGTGGAGTGATACTGGATGTAGAGAGAAGCTTTCTAAGGTCTGAATCTCAGATCAGTTAAAACACCAGATGTGAAAATGAGAATCAGTAAAAAGGGTTGATTAGAGGAAGGATGCATTACTGAACAAAATTCACAGAAGCCAAGAACAAACACGTTTCAAGAAACTTAAGTGCATCTGAACTATGATAGCTCCAGTGAGGTGAGAGCCGATAACTGCCAGTGAATCCAGGGGCAAAGATTCTCTATAGTGGGACAACTTTTTATTAAAAGGGGTACAATTAAACAATTGGAGCCACAAACAACAAACATGTCTTATATGTGTATATGTGTTCATGTGTGTATATGTGTATGTGAGTGCATGCAAACTCAAGTGTCAGTTTGTGTAGAGGCCAGAGAGCACTGGCAGTTGTCATTCCTCAGATACTCTCAACCCTATTTTTTTGAGACAATGTCTCTCACTGGAATGTGAGCTTGCCAATTAGGCTACGTCAGCTGGCCAGTCAGCTGGAGCGTTCTGCCTGTATAGACAGCTCTTTTGAAGAACACTTTTCTGTGGGAGCACTTGACATTAACTAGAATGATTTAGGCATCAAGGAAAGTTTCGTTGCTGTTGTTTTGTTTTTAAGCAAAGAGGTATGAAAGCGTACTCCCACGTGGTAACGAACAATAAGGTGTTGTGACAATGACTGTATGAAATAGATGGCTAGGTTGGCTCATGAAAGAATACATATTCTTTAACAAGTCAGTACTGTTGGCACATCTAAAAAGTAATTACTATGAACAACCTTGTATGAAGGTGAAATAGACTCCCAAGTCCAGCTTAAAGCAGTACAATTTTCACCACTGAAATAATTTTCCTTAAAAATTTAATGTATAGTCATTAGATAGCTGCTATAAGCATAGTTGCTCAATACTGAACACAAGTGTGAATTAGACAGACATGAGGGGTCAGCAGCGGTTAACCTGGCGGCAATTTAGCTTGATGAAAAAGATAGATGATTTGGATGCATGGAGGAATTGACTCTATTAATAGTACCACTCATTGTAGTGGGTAGCTGTTCCAGCTTTGACCTGGAAGTACTACCTCCAGTGAGGCTTCCGGTAGCTGTCATGCCCTACCTATGACCTGCCCCTGAGGTGGGGCCCAGATGGGAGCCCTTAAGACCCAAGATCTGGATTTGCTGGCTCCCTGGGTTCCTGGTGATCCTGGATGCTGGATGGTAGACCAAGTGGAGTTCTCCAGAGAACCCAGCTGGACTTCACCTCACATCTCCTGGATCCTGTAAATTATCCCTTTACTCGTTGTAAGATATCCCCCAAAATAAACCTCCCCTTTTAACTATGTGGAGTTAACTCAATTTCCTCCAATAACTCACGGCAGTCCCTTTCAACCAGGCCCCAAATATTTCTCCAAACTCTATTCCACTGCAAACTTAGCTGCAGTGCTATGTGGTTTAAACCTTGGCTCCGTGTCAGCTTTTTATTTTTGTGCCAGACAGAGATAGCCAAAGATATCTGGAGGAACAAACGGCACTATGATGATGACTTTCCATAGCACACTATTAAAGGAAGACTGGATTAAAGGGCCACGTTCTCGGCTCAGGTCTGAAAATAGACTCCTGCCTTCACAGGAGCCGAATGCAATTTTTTCAGAAGGAGAGCTACGGCTCTACCTACTGAAGATTTAAAATGACTCACCCATGTGTTCGAGGACTGAAATGCTGCTAAATTTGGGTTTTATTTGTCTGAAGTATGTGTGTAATGTGTTCAGAATATTAAGGCTCAATGTGATGAAGAATAAGTTACCTAAATATCATTTTGGGGTTTGCAAGGTGATTATGAAGCTCCCATTTTTCTTCCTTTAATAAACAGAGGACCATTTAGCCCCCCCACCTTTTACTTATATGACTTCCTCTTTAGCATTTCAGTTATGCAAAATGTGAAATGGAAGTGTGTGTCTCCTAGGTCAGCCCCTGTGGTCCTTGGATTGTATTATGTGCATTATAATGCAGAATAGTGGTGACCCATAGATCTAGCATGGTAGGAGCATTCTCTAATTTATACTACCCATTCTGGTAGTCATAACCTCTGGGTGGGTGGTATTATGAATGTGACATATGGCTAGTATAATGAAGAACATGAATTATTAACTCATTTAATTTTAAGCCCACATAAAGCAAGTGGCCACCATATTGACCATAGTTTGTTTTTTTTTTTTTTTAATGATATCCATCACTTTTTCGAGTACATATACTATTTTATTCAAGTGGACGATTAAAAAAATCCTTCTAATAATTTGCTTTGTTTTCTTCTTTAGCTTGCTTTTGGAAATACTGTGTCTGAGTCTTCTCTGGATATCCAAAAGAAAAGAACACTTAGATAGGCTGATATTCTCTTGCTTAAAGTTTATCTTTGTATCAAGCGTTAGGAAACTGGCTCTTGTTCTGCACATCGCTCTTCTCACTTTCTCACCTGCTCCTGCCTGGGTAATGGTTTGCTGAACGCTCATGTGGTAAAGAGAGACACTGGCTACACTCTGGAATGGAAGTGACCACCAAAATGGCTTTGAGCTGAAACTGAAAGTGTTCGATTTATTGTATAACTCCTCTCTCTCTCTTCTCTCTCTCTCTCTCTCTCTCTCTCTCTCTCTCTCTCTCTCTCTCTCTCTCTCCCTCAATGCTGCTTTCAATGCTTCGTTGTTGGCTGTGAATAAAAATATTTTGAAAAGCATCTCAGAAAGTGAAAATAAATTGTATTGTCTCAACTCATGTGGAAAATACGCATTTATGCCTCTTTCTTATTTTGAGGATTGTGCTTCTTTTGGATTAATTGGGGCAGTTGCTATGGAGAACACTAAGGATGAATACATTACTGAGGAACAGAGATACATATTTTACCTAACCACAGAAGAAAGTAATACAAATTTCTCAGAAACAGTATGTAAAGAAAATGTTGATAAAACAATTTGCTTTGGGGTTTCTAATTTCTCACGTTTGCTTCCTCCAGAGCATCAGGAACTCTTTGACACCATCTGCATGCCTAGAACAGGTGGGACTCTGTGTGCTCTGAAACAAAACTCCCCAAAATGCATTGTCTTTTCCTTGTTAGATTTTAATTTCCCATGGTTACATTGTTTTTCCTTACAGCTGAACAAGCCTATTTAATTAATTCCAGCCTCAGAGTTTAGGCTTAATTTTGCCTGACAACCTCTCTGACACAGAGGCATTCTCAAAGTAACTTTTGAATTAAAGAATATTGGTGACTACACTATTATGTGGCCCACATACATTCTGTTTTCTTTACAATATTGAGAAGTGCATTTTTTTTAAATCTATGTATTTCCGTGTGGTGCTTAATGATACAAAATATTTCATAAAAGAGGATGGTAGAATTTATTAAACTAGCATTTAATAAAAAAGAACAAAGCCCTGTGATAAGGCTGAGGATACCTGAATAATGAAGACAACTTAAAGCCTAGTGGGGTAACACCTAATAAACAGAGACCCAAGTGAGTCATTTTAAGACAATGACAAAGGAACTTATAATGATTAGGGGTAGGATAGAGGAACTCAGCTGAGTGTATGGCAAGATCTCAGAGGTCCTTTTGAAAAGGTGATATTTGGGCTGACCTTCAACTCTGGGAAGGTCATGCAAAGTGGCTAAAGAAAAGAGCAAGCCCTCAAGGTGCTGGAGAAATGGGGAACTAGGAAGTGCAAAGGCCAAAGTAGGAAGGACTTGACATCCTTGAAAAAGGAAAAAGGTCAATGTGCTTGTGGTCAGTGAGCAAAGCCTATGAAAGTGCCATAAGTTAGGCAGGTGGGTTATAACCCACAAGGCAAAGACAGCGGGCTGGTATTTCATTCTAAACCAACAAAGAAACAAATATAAAAACAAAAATCTCTCCCCTGATGGATGGAAAGCAGAACAAGACCAGCACATGCTTTAAGTCTCTGAGATATGACTTCCCACTCTGGAACCACAGAGGATGCCACTTCCCTTCATCTGTCAGCAAGGACAAGCCGTGGTACACAAGTGATGTCCATCTGACCACGAGGTTCTTACCTACATCTCTCCCGGAATGAGCTTGGCTTCCTTCTAGAGTACAAATTTCAATGTTTGTTAACTCTGTATTTAGGTAGAAGATTTTTTCTACAAATGGTGTTGTCTTCTTAAAATCTAAAATCTGAAAATATAGATGTCAGATTGGATTAAAACTAGATTTCACATTAAATAAAAAAGAAAAGAAGAAGAAAATGAAGGGACCAGCCTTAAGTACCATGCCTGGCGTACAATGTATGCACTTTCTCAGGACCACACAAATACATAGGAATAAGCAAGAGGAGATGAAAATTAAGGATGCTCCTGTGTACTTACAAGAGTTGTGAGCACAAACACAAGGCTATTATGAAGATTAAGACTCCAGCTATTTTCATTACACATTTATTTACTTTGGTAGATATTCCAGCACATTGAAACTTATGCATCGAACACAATGCCACTGTTGCTTTTTAGAAGATTGAATTCAGTTTTTAATAATTTAAGAAATTTAATTCCCCAAATGATATGGAGATTAAAGGTAAAATTTGATAAATTTTGTGTAGTGTAAATTTGAAGACACTGTAGCTTAGAATTACATCCTTGCATGCAAAGTTGGTTATGTAATTAACACTAGAACTCAGAAATTCTATTTACATATTCATTTGCTCTATGTATCTCTATTTAGAAACAAGGAGAAAAAGGCAAAATATATATAGCTTTAAATCATGACTTTTTAAATTGCTGGCTCCCCAGGGAAATACAGTTGAATCTACTGTTATACATTGTATTAAAAACAAATGAGATAGGACATCCCATTATTTAACATAACTGATGTTTAATTTATTGTTAAGAAGACTCCATTTCAGCTGGAATAATGCTTTTTATATTTCTATTCTTTTCAGTGTGGTAGTAAAAACTAAGATGCATGAATTAAAGTAATTTTAAGTTGAGAATGTGTTTTTCTTCTTTTCTTCATTGAAATTTGCATTATGAGACAATTGCACTCTGTGCTCCATTTATGAATGGAGCATAAATCAATATGCTATGTTCTCTTACTTTGAATTAGATGTGATTGCATGTTTTCTTTCGTCTCTTTCTCTTTCTTTTTTTCCTTCCTCCCTCCCTTCCTCCCTCCCTTCCTTCCTTCCTTTCTTCCTTTCTTTTTTCCTTTCATTTCTTCCCTTGTTGCTTTCTCCTTTTGAAACAGAGGTCTCATGTTGTCCAGCCGAGCCTCAGACTTTCTGCTTAGCTGAGGGTGGCCTTGAATTTCTGATCTTCCTCCTCTTATCTCCAAGTGCTGGGATTACAGGCATGAGCCACCATACCAATTAGACAGGAAATCTGTCTCTTTCATGCTCGGTAGGCACTCTGCCATTGATCTGTATTCCTTGCTCTCATAGCCTATTTTTTTTAAATTAAGCAATGCAGGAAATCCATTTGTACAGCTCAAACTTCAAACTTCAATATGAGATATTTTAGCCTAATATTGATTTCAATGTCTTTTGTCAAGGCATGAAGCTCTACTTGGTTGGATTGGTAGCTTCTAAACATCTAATGGAGAGAAAAAGAAAAACAAAACAAAACAAAAACAAAGCTTCTAACATGGGAAACATTTGTATGGTCCACCCCAATGCTGAGAAAAATAAACAACAGAGACAGTAATTTCTTTTCAAATAAATCTATTAAATTCAGAGTTCTGCAGAACATTACACATAGGCCAATTATATTGACTTTCCTTATATTAACTTTTAGATATTAGTTTCTAAAGAATACTATCACTCAACTTTCTCAAAAATTTATTTCCTTTTGCTACAGCCATCTACCACACTTGAAGCAAATATTCACTTGCTGCCTTTTCTCTAAGCCTAGAGTGAAGATTTTCAGCAATTTGGCACATTTCAGAAAAGTTAAAAAGCCCTCTATAAATCATCATACATTCTGTACATATGTTCCTTTCTTTACATCTTCAAATCTTTAAACCCTAGGTTTTTAGAAAGCACATTGGGAAGCTGAATTGTAAAAGCATTAATGGCAAGAGAATGCATAATACTTGACAAATGTTTTTAAAGGTAGGTTTAGGGGCCATGTTACAATTTATGAATCATTAAAACAATATTCTCAAAGATATTCATGCACTGAAATGCTCTGCACAACTTAACTAAAACCATAGCAACACTAGGAGATGACGAATTGAGGTTCTCAAGCTTTGGGAAGGTATGCAGAAGATTAGTTCCTCAACAATTTAACCAGCAGGGAGGAAAGAAGAACTTCACTGAAGCATCTTCTCTAAGTTCTGTGCAAGTCAGACGCATCTAGAAAAGTGAAAGTTGAAGGTGTTAAAATGGTTTTTACACTCTGCAGATCAGATGAAATTCCACAATTTCAACAGTGAAGATGTAATCCTTTAATCGTGTGGTACTTTGAGTCAGCTTTTAATTACATGTCATATTTTATACCATAATGTAAAGTAATTATTTCAAGTATCTGTGAATTAAAAGAGCATTTGTGATGAGTAAGCTAAGAGCCTATGCTCAAGTTTTAGTGAAAATTATAGTATTTGTCAGTTCTTTCTTGAGATATCAACAATATCAAATTTCTCTCCAGGTTTTGATCTTAGTTCAAAGGGTGTTTCATGAAAAACATTTGGATAAAGAAAAATTGACTAGAGTTTGTTTAGTTTTAGATATACATTGATAACTATGTATTTTGCTCCTGATACAGGAATTTAACCTTGCACTATCTTTTACACCTGATATTCCTGCTGGATTTCAGAGTTCTATTAACTTATATGAACAGTGGTGTCAACGTCATGCTAAGATAAAATTGTTAATCTAAAACAATGATATGTGCTGTACGTCATTAGAAGAAAGTCTTAATTCCAGTAGCAGCAAGTGATTGCCACATCAATGGTTGTGTTTCTAATGTCATGAAGCAGGCAATCCTGACTTCAATACTGGTTTTTAATTCCACCTAGAAAAGCCACAAAAATGTGGACAAAATATCTGTTGAACGTGAGTTGCTTAAGCCAATGCCTCTACTGTCCCAAAACTTTAGTATGACATAGGGCTGATTGGAATAAAACATGTAAATATCAGATTATATTCCTTTCCAGAATATAGCAGAAAAGAGATTGGCCCTTTCTCTGGAAATTTGTTAATTTCTAGTAGTTGTTTGTGAACTTGACCTTAAACCAAGGCAATTTTCTTTGAATAGGGAGCAGTTTCACATTTAGTGTGAAAACTCAAAGTGAAACCCAGAAGGGAAAAACCCACGACTAAGCCTCCTCCAAGGGAAAGCACTTCAGCCCCCACAGAACTGAAACAGAGACAGAGTATGCTTTCTCTGTGGCTTGCCCTGTGACAAGTTAGGGCTGGAGTATAGCTTAGGGGTATTACACTTGCTTAGCATGTGAAAGACCTTGGATTTGATCCCTGGCACCAACTGATTGACCCAAAAATGACCAGTTATGCTCTCAACCAACATCAATCGTCTGGAATCAAGAAAACTTGGTGGGTTATAAAGAGGATATTGGCCTAGAGAGTAAAATATCTGATGTCTCCACCTTGCTCTGCACGAAATCCGTAAAATGTGGATTGCACCAATGTCAGTCAACAACTCAAATTTCCTAAATTGTTTGGGCTAAACAAGACTTTATATTCTCAAATCTGTAATTATTTAAGTATTTGATGTTACTTAACAATGCTCAAGTTACTTTTTATTAAGAAAACTTTTTATTCATTCTATATACCAACCACAGATTCCACCCCCATTCCTCCTCCCGCTCCCCCTTAGCCTTCCCCCCAAGCCCACACCTCTTCCCCTCCGCCGAAAAGGTATGGCCTCCCATGGGGAGTCAGCAAAACCTGGCAGATTCAATGCTCAAATTCTTATCTTGTAAATGCCATGCTGTACAAATTGCACCCACTGTTTAATTCAAAGGAATATTGTGATAGTAAAAAAAAAAATTATTAGAAATAACAGAAATTTGAATGAAAATTATCTATTATTTTATAGGTTTTGTTATCCTCTCAAATCACAAACTTTCACATGAGGAAATAAATGTTTGAGAAATCTTGGTGATAATGGTGGGGAATTACAAAAATATAATGACTGAGAAGATGAATCCACAGTGACAGATGGAGAAGAGAGAAATGTGTGAAGTTAAGTTTTCTTCTGAGCCTCATGTGATATTGCTGTCTTCAGGTTTGACTAGGAAGACCCATACTTACAAAGACACTCTGAAGTTTGTTAAGTGTATGGTAGTTCACAAATTTATGTGTCATTACTGTTACCGGACAAGAAAGCACCTAGGTTATCTCCTGTCTGTCCAGAGTTCCTATTGTATGAATCTTCATATGAAAATGTGTTTCTTATATTGGCTCTCATGTGTGTTTTGGGAAATTCAGAAATATTAAAGCATATGATAATGAAATCAGTGAGAATTATGTCAATCTCAGGGTCATGTTAATGTATCAGAAAATTGGAAGATGTGCCCTTGATTCCAGGAAGTACTTGGCTTTTTTAATTCCTGTTCAACTGTAAGTGGGGCAGTTGTTAGCAGACCCAAGGAATGATCACATTTAGTTTATTTCTAGATCTGAGGTAAAGAGCTCCATGTGAAGGTAGTGCTGTTCAAAAGACAGTGTTCCTCTCACCCGTCAGTGCATAATCCTGTTTTTATGGGGACTCAGTGACCACAGAACATCAATATCAACAAATTCTTGGGCATCAACACTTCTTTTAATTAAGTCATTATCATAAAATATTGAGCCTCATTATGACTTTAGACTATTTGAAGGGAACAAAAAACTGTTATAAATTATGAAAGGATGAGGCCAATGTGGTGAAAGAAGTAGAACACAGAATTCCCATGTCTCTGTACTGAGACGGTTACAGCAGTTGCAGGTTATTGGAATTATTAGGAAGGAAGGACGGACAGACCTTTCAGAATCTTTACTGGAAGAAAACATATTGCCTCTATTTCAAAGTCAACAAACATTTATTGTTCATGATATAATATATTTTAATGAAATAAAAAAAAGTGATTTATTGTGCTCTTCTAGTTTTCTTCCTATCGCTCTCTGGCCAAAAGCTACTTGGGGAAGAAACTTGGTTTATACTTCCAGGTCACAGTCCATCACTGAGGGACGGCAGGGCAGGTACACAAGGCAGAAACCTGGAGGTAGAAATCAAGAAGTGCCGTTTACTGGCCCACTGTCCAGTTTGCTCCCATGCTCATACTTAGGTAGTTTTCTTACATAGTCCAAGCCCCTAGGGATGGTATTCTTCACAGTAGGCTTGGCCCATATGCCCACAGGCCAATCTGATCCTGGCAATTTCTCAGTCAGGCTTTCCTCTCAGTGAGATTTTTGCTGTGTCAAGTTAACAATTAAAGTTAACTAGGACAGATGTTAGTTATAATCTTAACCCTTACTTGCATATTAACATTAGACAATTGCACAGGTTTATGTGAAAATTGCTAAATTTATTTTTTATGAAGCATTGGGATGGGTGACTTTTCTATGTGAAAGGTAAAATTTGGTGTCCCTCAAGTGTGTCCAACCAACAACTTTTGAGCTGCATGTGCCTCGGGGTATCTATGAATGCAGCACTATATAAACTGTAAACTTACTTGAATTATTATAAGACTTTGTGCATGTATAAAATTTTAAAACTTGATTGTACATTGAATGTGAATTTTGAAGATAGATAAAAATGTCATCTTGCTATCTCAAAAATTTGGACACTTTTGTTTGGATGTTTATTTCCTTTCTAAAAGTCCTCTAAATTACTTAGCATCAATACATTATCTAAAGAAATATTTGCAAATGTATATATATATATATATATTCTAAAAACTATATATATACTAATATATATATATATATATGTATAAATATATATTCTAAAAAACCAAAAAAGGACATTTACAAGTAAGGATGGGCCCATTCATCTAGTGTGAATTGTTTTCTATCTCCTGCCCATAGACTGCTTGTTGGAATTGTACTCACGATGGGAATCCATCAGCCTCTGGAACTAGAAAGTCGGTTTCTACCAATCCGATCCATGGGGATACCAAACCGCTTTTTTGAATGATCTACTTTCCTGTAACAAACCATGGAGAATATTTTAAATCAATGTCCAAGTTACCAACCACGATTGTTGTTTTTGATTTAATGCAGATCTTCTCTTCAGAAGTGGGAACAAAAAATGATAGATACTGTTTACCACTTTGCATTCTCACCTCTGTATATTTGTGAAGAAAAAGTTTAGAGAAGCTGATTCAAATCATATAGCGTCCATGAAAACCCAAGCCTTATCAGCATATTAAACTACTAATGACCTGGCTGATAAATCTCTCTACCTCTGCAGATTTCATTCTCTTATTGCTCCTCTGCCTCCAAATGGATCCTATGAGGAAGGATAATGGTTGGAGAAAGGAAAATGTCCAGATGCTAAAACTGACATGGCAGTTGCCTGACTCTCATGCCTTCACTTAGACATCTAGTACACATTCTTTGTATGCGATCGTCTGTGCCTGCTTAGATATTTTCTATGTCAAGTATTGGTTTAAGAAATAAACTGTAATGATATAATTTCCTGCTTGGTGATTTTTATATTAGTTACTTTTCTACTCCTGCAGTAAAACACCATGGCCAAGACAACTTATAGAAGGAAGGAACTCTTTGGGCTTATGACTCCAGAGGGATACGAGTTCATTACCATCACAGTGGGGAGGTGGCTGTGGGTAGCCATGTCAACTGGAGCAGCAAGCTGAGAATTTGCAACTTGAACTTCAAGCAACAAGCAGTGAGAGTGTGCTAGGAATTGTGAGAGGTTTTGAACCTCAAAGCCCTCCTCCAGCAAAGCTGTACTTCTAAACAGCGCCACCAACTGGGGAACAAATACTCCAACATTTGAACCTATGGGGCACACTCAAGCTCTCACCACTTCTGAGAAATGAAACTTACTACCTTATAAGATAACTTAATGTTCAGCCACTCAGACCTAAAGACAAAGGTTTGCTTCAGACCATCTTCAACGGCTTTCATTATTTTTCCCTACTTATGTTATGCTGTCAGTCTCACTCCACAAATACTAAAATAAATGAAAACCTCAATGATCTTCTTTCTACTATCATTCAATAGATATTTCTTCTACAATCTACTTTATCCCTATATGCATAAGGAGCTTCTTTTGTGTGTCCTGGGATTCACAATCAGAAGTAGTACTTGTTTTCAAAAGCCTTGGCTACTCTTAGAAGTGATGATGGCTGAAGATAAATAGTACAGGAATAAATCTCCTATTTTACTGAGTCCAAGTTTTTCAATAATAATATTACGTAAAAACCAATTTATTAAAAATTCCTGAGGACACTGAAGGATTTTTACAACTATACCTTGCACATAGAAATATGTAAATGCCGCTTAATTTACTTACCATAGTTAATTTCAAGGTAGTTAGTATTTCCTGAGTGCTTTCTACATGGCAGGGCCTGTGTATACACAGATGAGCAAATACAGAGCTCGATGCAGTGTTTACCCTCACATGATTCTTAAGAACAATGGAGCCATGTTGGACTGTTCTCCTACCCAACCTTCTTTTCTATTAGTTTACATCATCCCACTCTCTAGGCTCTTGATTAAATTATGAGCATTGACTATATGCTAGCTTAGGAATTTCTCCTCAACAAAAAAATTAAATAGTCAAGAGTAATTCTGGAAAAAATACTTATTGCACATAATACTACTTCACAACCTTTTCAAAAATGCTATTCCACAACCCTACTTCAACTCAAATTTTTAGAAAATATATCCCATTAAGAGGTGTCTTCTGTTTCAATGTCTTAATTTCCTAATTATAAATTGGGCATATATTTTTCAACTTGTTAAACAATGGGAAACATGTAATTTGTAGAATTAGCTTAAAAATCAATGGACAAGAGTTATAAGAAACCAGACACACTAGTCGTGCTTCAAGAGTTTGGTGTAATTATAAATAACGGGTGCTGGAATAAGAAAAATTTTTTTTGGATATAGGGTCTCACTATGTAACCCTAGTTATCCTGGAACTCACTCTATAGACCAGGCTGGCCACAAATTCACAGAGATCCACCTGCTTCTGCCTTCCTATGCTAGGATTAAAGGTATGCAGCACTACACAGGCTCTCTTCTGTGTTTTAAATTAACTGACTTTACCAAGACTAACATAAATAGACTTTTAATTCAACATTATTTTCTTGTAGTAATCAGAATAATGGATTCCCACCAGTGTCCACATTGCAATTTACAGAATCAGAATATGCAATTTGATATAGCCAAAATGAGTTTCAGATTAGATTAAGTTTATAGATTCTAAGATTATGCTGAATTACTTGAGCGGACCTGGTATCTTTTCAGAATAGTTTTTAAAAGTAGAAGATAGTTGCAGAAGACTGCCCCAGGCCTCAGATAATAAGAGCAGTCTGAGAGGGATCATAATTACCAATGACATCATGAAGATGGAGGAGTTGTGAGTGAAGGAATGCTGTGGCCCCTTGAGGTTTTTCAAGGTATCAAGGAAAATGATACCTCGGTCCTTCAAGCCTAAAAGTTGAATTTTGCCAACAATTCAAATGAGATGGAAATGCTTTTCCCAGAAGGCTGGAAGATTACAGCCTGATAACACTCTCATATCATTTGCGTCCAGCAGGAAGACAAGGCAAGAGTGTGCAGGGAAATGCAAAAGGGAATTTATACACCACCATTAGCCAGAAATCAGCCACATTTCTACCTGACAGAAAAAGAGACTGGGAAAAATGGCCTGAAATGATGGACTGTGTGTGATAAGGCTATACTAAACCTTGACCAACAAAATTATGAGCTAGTAATTGATTATAATTTACTATGGTACCAATAAGAGCAAATACATTTCTCTGTATGATTTAGGGCTTATGTCTCAGTGCTATGGGGCTAATACATACAAGATATTAAATTGATGTGGCTCCCCTCCATTTCTTTAAATTGATTTCTTCATTGACTATCCATCATTAAAATTTCAGGACATATGTAGGCAGAAGTCAATGTTGGACAGAGGAGAATGCTCAGGGGTGACAAGTTGAAAGGGAAGTAGAGAAAAAAATCCTCCCAGACCTTAAAAAAGGGGAAGGAAATAGCAGCTGGGGGTTAAATGCCCCACTTACTGTTCCCATGCCACTTTAAGTTCAAGTGCTGTGAAAAAAATTCATTTGCTTAGTTTTTTAAAAATAAGTGCACTATTCTTATAGAGTATATAAACTACAACAGAACATTCACTGGTTCTTGTAATTGTTTCCCAAAACTAAGGTAAAAGAAATGTAAATGACATTTTTCTTGCTTTGCAGTAGTTGATGTTTTCCTGCTTAAGCACATGAGTAGAGGCCGTGCTTGTGGGAAAAGCAAAAAACATGAATTTCCTTGCACCCAAACCCCAGAATCATCCTCTCCCCTTACTGTTCCCAGGTTTGATCTAAAATGTGTTAGGGACCAGGAGACAGGACTTGATCTTTGACGAATTATTTTACTTAATGTTTCTATGATCCTCTGAGATTCCATTATTGTAAACAATTCTTTGTTTTCTGATGAAATTCAGATAACACCCGGTGTTCCTATCCATCGGAGTTGCTTATTCATTCAACACACTTACTTGTTAGGTACTATTTGGTTATATTTTTGTTTTATCTCTCAGTGCCTAGTTCATGTTGAAAATGGTGACTAAAGTCACACACACACACACACACACACACACACACACACACAGACATTTACACGCATCTTCAGCTGATGCTCTTGCCAGTCCAGTTGAATTATTTCCAGACTATTTGAGCGACTTCAGAGCAAGACAGGTAGCACATGGCTTTGTTCTAGCATCTCAATTAATTTGATTAATTTTATCAAATGTGGGATCGGCTGCAAAAACTTGCAGATATCTAGAAATAATTGATTTTGAGCTTGCACATCTAAGTATGTTCAACAAATTGGCACATTAAAAAAAAACAAAACCAATTATATTCAAAAGGTCTATGAAAGTCAAAATGGCTCATGAGTCCAAGGAGTATATATATATATATTTTACACATATTCAGAAATAAAATGGCAAGCTGGTGGTGTTCTTAACATTTTTTTTCCTGATATCAAATATGTACCCAACTCTCTAACCGATGCACTGGCAGTAGTGCCCGGTGAGCACAGAAGGAAAGTTAGACAGGCTAATACCACCCAGGAGAGCTGTACTTCTGACTGTCTAGTCCCTCTTGTGACAAAATGATGTAATGACACAGCTTATATTAGATGCAGGTGAAAGAATCCTCCCTTTTCATTGAAAAATACGCTGTGAGAAGTTTAAAGAGATGAATTGTCTAGCAAATTAATACAAGCGCAGTGTTTGGATTGTTTATTTTCAATGCGACTTTTATATCTACAATAAAATACAGACTTTTTATGTCAAATAGGATTTTCTTTGATGTCTATCTATAGCTATCCTTTCTGAAGCTGGGTTACCATTGTTAAAAGGCAGTAGCAAATTGCATTTAAGCATTTTATTGAGTAGTACCCCATATATGCCAGTGGATCCGTCAATTGTCTCTGCCTAGTTTAAAGAAAATGAAAAAAGAACATCTGTACTTGCAGCACCCGCAAATGATAAAGAATTTGACTTGCACAGTAGACATTTCGCTGTCCCCTGCCAAGTGGTGGTGTCCCTCTGGGGGCCCAGTCCCAGGAGCCTTCTGTGGACTCAAGCTTAGTCCAATCATGTTTTTGCCTCTCCTTTCTTGTGTGAATTGGGTAAAGTTCTGAGACTTACTCCTGGCAGTTTTAGAATTTTGCTTAAAGTAGTTCTGTGTTTCAGACCTAATCTACAACCTAATACTAGCTATGATTGATAGTGTTACTATTGTAAATAGTACTGCTACTCCTAACAACTGTATTATTAATTATGCCTACAGAACATATGATACACTAGAAGTTTGTTAAAAGTTTAAGTCCTGTACTCTCATTATAAAATTAGGTGCCATGTGAGGCGATGGATATCAACTGGCTTCACTGTTGCACTAAGTTTATAATGCATACATTCATCAAACATTATCT